GGGCCCCGAGCCAGGGCCCGGCGCTCCCGGGGCGGTGCCACGTGCTGGCCGGGGTCCGGCCACCTCCTCCCCTGGCTGATGGGCCTGGATTTGAGAGCCCAGGCCCCTCTGGATGCTCCCTAGATTGGGGGGGGGACGGGAGGACTGTGGGGTGTCCCCGGGCTGGCATCAGGCCTGCTGCGCCGATTTCTAGTCGTGTGTCCTGGATGCGTTTCCTCATCAGCAAAAGCCTGAGTTCATTCACCTTTGGGGCGTGCGGGGAGAAAATGAGTGCACAGGGATGGGTGTAAGCCCCGAGCCACCCAGGGCCACCTGAGCTCGGCGACGGGATGAAGCCACTGCCACCCGTGGGGCGCCAACTCTGGCGGCCTGTGGGTGTGTGTGTGCGGGCTGGATTCTCCCCTCACCTCCAGCGCTCACAGGGACCTGCCCCGCAGATTTCCAACAAAGGGAAGGTGAAAGGATCCTTGAGGAGCGGTGATGGGCTTGCACTCTGCCTCGGGATGGGTCAAGGTCACGCCCTAAGCTCCTGCTTCTAGGTCCTCTCGCCCTCGCTGAGAGGAGTCCTGATGAGAGCTTGGGAAGGAGACAGTGAGAAAGGCCCCTGCCTAAGCAAGCCCCCAGGAAGCCCAGCCCAGGGCTCCGGGACTCGGCCGGTCACCATGGTGTGGGAGAGAGGGCGTCCTCACAGTAGAGCAGGCTTTGTCTCCACGGGGCTTCCTGTAGGCAGAGCATATGGTGTGGGTGGAAGTTGGTGCCTGGGGCTCAGCCCTAATGGGGTCGTGTGTGAGAGAGGGAGGGAGGGAGAGAGGGCGAGAGCGCACAGCGCACCTGGGGCCTGCAGGACCCTTGCGTCACGGCTGTGGGCTGCAGATGTCTTCTCTGGAATGACCCTCTGCCCTGTTCTCCTCTGGGCCCCTCGCAGATGGTGCAATGGCCCGGAGCGCGTTCCCACAGCCTCCAGGCCAGGCGAGGCTCATCCCTCCCCAGCGGCTCGGCCACCTGCAGCCGCCTCTGCCGGGCCTCTCACCTCTCTGGTCCCTGCCCCCTTTGGCATCTTCATTGACAGACATTATAGGTCTCGCCCCGCCCCCCAACCCGCAGCCTCTGCGGCACACACCGCAGCCCGGCACAGGCAACCAACGCGGGAGGGGCGCGGAGGCCCCGGCGGCAGGAAGATGCCCACGGATGAAGTCACGCAGGCCCGCGCGGGGCCCGGGCCTACAGAAGCCTGCAGCCGCCGCCGTGCGCTCCACCAACGTTTATTGAGCGTCTGCCCGCCGGGGCCCCAGCCAGCCTGGAAAGCCGGCGTCCGGGGAGGGCACCGCAAGCTGCCGCCGCTGCTTCGGCCAGGCCCGGCCCGCACCCCACACC